CAATTTTGCCACTTTTATTCTCATGTGTTAATTTCTCTCTGATCTCATAGGATCATATCATAATTTGAATTAATGTCATACCTTTCTTTAAAATCTCCATACTTACTTCTTTTATTTATTTATTTATTTTTATGTGTACCGTATTCTAAAACCAGCAACACCTGATTTTGTGATAGACGTCATAAATATAATTTAGACTTTATTTTTGTCAACCAAAAGAAGATAACATTGAAAGTGGTTGCAAGGGGTACCCATCAAATATAGATCTTGGTCTTATTAAATGCAAAAATGAAGGACTTCACCTTTTCTTTTTTTAATAGTCAACTAATTTTATGTATTGCTTGAAATCCCTATGATGTTATATTCTTTATATTTGAGTTAGAATACCCATTGTAGGTTTGTGTCAAATATATGATGTTTTTTACTAATTAAGAAAACCTCTTTAATCTCTTGTTTAAATTCCATCATAAATAATTCAAGTAACCACTTTTTATCAAGTCTGTTTAGTGCCACCATCAATGTTTAGCTTTGAATTTCTCTAGATATTACATTGGACTATGAAGAACGCACAGTTATAAAAAAAAAAAAAAAATGCTGACATACTTTTTAATATTTTACTTTTAACACATTTTTTATTGAGTAAACTCTGCATGAGTCTTACTAAATATATGAGATTATATTATAGTGTGTTTGGATAGTTTAGAAAACTGTGGCTATTCTAAAACTACGTAAAAGAATGTGATTTTCATACAGCAACCATTAGTATATCAAACACGCTATCTATATTGAATCCAGTTTTTGATCCTCGTATATATGTTTGTAATTTCTCCACCAGTGTTATAAATTTTCCTTCAAAATTTCATATTTTAGCATTTAACTATTTATATATAATAAATGTAAAACTAGTCCTTTTCTTTCATACCGTGCAATACGAGATGCCCATATCCAAAAATCTTCCTCCCAATACTTTAGTGTTTCTGAACTTGTCTCTTCTTCCTAGATATTGGATAGAGTCGCTTATTTTTTTGTATATATTCTATTCCTATATATTCAAAGTTATACAATGAATCTCGTATACCAAAAGAACAAAGGATAAGCACGACATCCACCTCTCCCTCAATTTGAATTAATCTTTGGAACCACATTAAGACTACAATTATGGTTTAATTTGAATATTACTAATAGAGAAACCAATCGGCCTAAACATTAAGACTACAATTATGGTCGATCTATTTCACCAGGGTTTTGGCTTTTACTAATATATTTATTTATATTTATTTCATTCTTTTTAAATGGTTCTCCTTAAAATTAACAAACAAAAAAGATCTTTATAATATACTATCAAAATTAAAAGTTAGTTAATAGTCATGTAATTATTTAAAATAAAATTATGTGTATTTATCTTTTAATTTTTACCATTAATTCAAATATAATATAGTAACTTTCATTTATTATTTTTAATTCTCATAAAACAAGAGTTCTTATTTAATATGCTCTCTATATTTGTAGTTTACCACACTAGCTATAAGAATGGTTTCATGCTATTCACCAAAAAAAAAAAAAAAAAAAAAAAAAAAAAGAAGAATAATGGTTTCATGGAAACGTTTAAAAATCCAAGCTATTTGAATTCAAATTGTATAAATAACATAATGGATAACGTAATAATATCTCTTAACAAACAATTGAGTAAACTGTTCACTTCAAGGTGTAAAGATAAAGCATACTAAAGTGGATTTTTTCTCTACTAACAATATTTTTCATACACATGACTAATTAATATGCAAGCCCTAACCAGTATTCTTAAGATTAAAAACACATAGTTCAAGATTAACAAATCACATATTTCATAATACATTTGAAAGTTACTATACATGTGTGAATTTAATACAGAAACTAATAAATAAATGATAGAAAATCGTTTTTCCTCACCAACTCTAGGATCACTAAATTATACTGAAGTGTTTTTATTAACAAGATAATATATAAATTGTTCCTTTATTAATTTTAATTTTTGTAATAGTATATTATGTTTCTTTATTTCTTCAAGCAATGCGAATTTATCTTTTCCAACGCGAGTAATGATAAACTGAAGTAACCTTAGCTATCAATGAAAAATAATTTATTAATATTTCAATACATAATAATAATAATAATAATAATAATAATAATAATAATAATAATAATAATTTGTTTTGCATGTATACGCAATGATCGTTAATTTCCTTATTGAGATTATACATTTTACTTTCTAAAATGAGATGTTGACTTTAAATGAACAGTTAGATCTCATAACAGCGTGTTTAGATCGGCATCACGGACTTGGGTATTGTTAATTGTCTCTGTCAAATTCCTTTAAAACGTGAAAGTTATTCTCAGTAGCTTCAAGTTAGACACAAATGCAAGTAAAATTAAACACACCTTAAATGTTTTAATTGAAACTTAACAAAAAAAAAAAAAAAAACTGAAGCTAAAAAACTATAGCTTAATATTTCTTTTTCGTGGATGCAAAATAAAATTGTGCAGGCTACATTGCTAAATGATAAGAACAATAATAGAGAACATATAAAACAATCTCATGAAGCCAGTTTATTGTGCCACCACCACCCCCCACATACTTTTAAGGTTTGTTTTTCTTTCTCGTAACCCTCTAATTTGATAAGTTTATATTTCACCTTCCACACTCTAGAATAAGCTCATCTCCTCTATCCAACATTACATGAATATCATCAACAAATTTTATCCAGAGAAGAACAACATATTACACAAGTTAAGGTTGTGATGATGTTAATGGAGTTGGAAAATGTGGGCTTTGATCTACTTATTAAATATAACCAAGGGTTTATCAACAAGATAACGAATTTCCGAGTAAACAAGTTGGTGAAGAAAGATATTGATTATAATGGAATCTTATTATCCTATAAGTTGTATATTATTATAATGTAGTTCCAAGTTCCAATTGATGCTCACCATGATGAAGCAGAAAGGTATAATCATCTAATCTAAAGCATAGCAATCATGGTCCACCAATATGAACATTACAGATCTAAAACCATGTATAAAAGCTACTTCTACTAAGTATCGTCAAAATAAGAAAGATAAAGAACTTGTTATCAAAGAACTAAAGCAACGTGCCGGTATTTATTCCAGGGTTTTGATGCTCTAAGCTAGCTAGACGTGAAGTGATATGATTAATCAGCTCATGGTTAAAAAAAATAAAAAAATAAAAAGAAAAAACATAGTCTATGAGACTACACAAAGGCAGTTTCTGATTCTGAATGAGAGGACTCTAATTAAAGTGCTGATAAGTTCAAGACTATTCGGTTCTTTAGCGTAAGACCCGTATATAGCTTCAATAAAAAATGATGTTGAATTCAGTGTAAATGTAATTAATTACATATATACGTATTATCATATGATGTGTATATTGAGGAAGTGTAATATATATTTTATATCCTTCCACAACATTATAATCTTACTAATATACTTAATAAAATTAAAAAACAATATCTTAAAAATAAATTAAAAAATAATATCTTATTCATTTAAGATAAAAGAAAAATAGTAAAAATATATTATAAGAGAATATAGGTTCATCCATAGAAGAAGAAGAAATTAGTATATAGTATTGCATTTGTTGTTCAGATGAAGAACTAGGAACAGTATAGTGACTCTGACAGTGTGTCCAAAATGGCTCCCTTAACACAAGAAATGCTGTATCTAGACTTTTACAGGCAGTGTTCATTATTGAGAATGATCTTTGGGAAGTGACAGCTATAGAAAATCTCAGCAAGAGGAAGGCTAAGAATAGAATCCAAGGAAAAGATGGAAATTAATAATTTAACAAAGTACATATTGGCATTGGTGGAATAACAGTGTAAAGAAGCAGAGATAGCTAGCTAGGGTTTCAAGGAGCATCTATTCCATAGTCAAGACAAAACTCGGAGTTTATTTATCTCTCTCTCTTTCCTCTTACCCTCCAATATATATATATATATATATATATATATAATATATATATATATGTTATATATTCATATTAATTAATATATATAGTATATAGTATATAGTATTAGTTACTTACTAACTTACCTCAGTTTTGATTTTACTTGATTTCTCTAGTGCCAGTGGCACTTTAGGGACTCTTGCTAGCTCTTGAGGTCTGTATGTTCCGGTTTTTGCCTCGAAAAGGAACCTTTTTTTTCCCAGAGCAGCGCACGTGTGACCCAACACCCAATGCTCATCTCTGCCACCACAATACTACTAAACCCTAATCACAGAGAGACAGACAAAACATAGTGAAGCCCATAACCCCACCATTCTCCTTATTCCTAGAAATGCATGAATTTTACTGTCCAACATCTGTTACTTTCTAAGAGTTATCAACTTAATAATAAAATAGTCTAAACATTTAATTAACTTCAACCATGAAACGGGCTCTTGTAGTACAACAATGATGCTTAAAATAAGGAGGAGATATATTATTTTTCATGAAACATGGCAGTAATGATGGTGCTAATTTTGAGAATATGGATGTGGAAAGAGGGGAGTTTGGATGTAATGATGGGTGTTAGTAGAAGAGAAAGTGAGAGTGAGTGGTATAATCATGGTCGAGTCGAGTTAGTGTGTTCTAAGTACAAGGGGCTAATTATTGTGTCCAAAACTTTTTTTTTCTTGAAATAGATAAAAATTCGAACAAGTTCATATATATTGTCATGTTGCACTCATGTGGGGTTATCTTTTGGTTCATGTTTTAGAATCTGAATCTAGGTTCGGAGTCCCAGAAAAACCTCCAAACAGGAAAAAGGCACAAATTAATCAAAAAAAAATAAAAAGAGAAAAAAGAAAACAGAAAACCGTTCTCTTTTCCTACTTCCTGCAAAGATTTACTGATGAATTATCAGACAAGGTACTAGAATTGCAGAAAAACATGAAGAGAGAGAGAAAGTGCACATGCTATAGCTGTGCTGCTTCATCTCGAAGCAACTATACACAAACGAGAATTCAGATAGGAAATAATCATCAAACCCCACCGAAAATTCATGAATTTATACATCCTTCTTCAACTCAACACTGATTAAAGGCTTTAATTAACAGTAAACTAAGTTATAATTAAGCAAGAAGGAGAATGAACAGTGATGATCATAAAGAGAAAATAGAAATTAAGAAAAAAAGACATAAACAAAAATAAAATAAAAGGAAGGAAACAAAGATAACAGAAAAAACCATGAAAGGAAAACATTTTGTTAAAAAGGTGGGCGACCACTGCCACCCCAATAACCCTCAGCCGGTAATTGAACCGAATTGAGAAGATTCTGAGGCATTCCATGGAAAAGAGAAGAACTATTAGGATCTCCCACAAGCTGTTGTTGCTGTTGAGGCTGCGATTGTGGTTGTTGTTGTGTCCCCGCAATTCCCGGGGACCCTAATCCTCCATTGCCAGGAACAGGCACCGGGGTTTCCTCTTCCTCTAAGGGTAGTCTCTCATATGCAGCATTACCAAATGAAGCAGCCATGATAACAACTGGACCTGAAGCCACAAGTGGTCCCACCACACTTCCACCTACCACCTGTCCCTGTCCACCGGCCAAGTATATGGCCAGTCCTGACGCCGCTGGTGGAGCCGGCGGCGGCAGGAATGATCCGGACAGGGACAGAATCTCAAACCTTCCATGAAGGGTCACCACGGCACCCGGCGAAGCCGGCTGCCGGAGTGTGACGTTGGTGACGGTGCCGCTGCCACTGAGCACGCAGACACCGCGCTGTCGCCGCCTCGCGAAGGCGGTGACGCTCTCCATGATGTCACAGCCGTTGGCGATTTCCATGACATGGGATCGGAGAGCGTTGGCACTGTCTCTTGTGATGATAATAGGTGGTTTGGGCTTGTTTTTGGAGCCTGCGGGTCTTCCTCTTGGCCTTCTGGACATCTCACTTCCTCCTCCATCTCCTGACCCGGGTTCCTTGCCTTCTCCGCCGTGTGGGGGCGTAGCAGAGCCTCCTCCGCCGGCGTTCTCGTCGCGATCTCGCTTCTGGCCGTGGCCATTGCCGGCTTCCTCGTCGGTGTTTTGGTGGTTGTGGTGGGGCTGGAATTGGTGGTGAGGGTGTAAGTGAAGATCTCTAGCGAGAAAAGGTGGAGGGAGAGGACGTCCTTGTGCTGCTACAGGATCCATTTATGACAACCCTAGATTGAGGCCTTGAAGAATGAACACCCACAAGCCAAAAAAGTTGAAGCTAATTGAAAGGATATAGATGGGATCTAGATGTTGGTGATGGTGTCTTCTCTTCTTTTGGGGGTTGTTTGATTTGTTTTCTCTGGTTTGGTTACTTTAAGGAGTTGGAAGAGGTAGCTATATCTATCCAAGTGTTGAGAGCAAAAGCATGTTACTTAGTTCTCACCTTCAACACAAGAAGAAAGAGAAGGAATTAAGGTGGATCCCTTGCAAAATCCCACCGAATTTTGAGCTGAACAAAGTCATTTGGTCTATGAGTGGAGGAGTTTGGTTAATTTGATGATTGACATCTGAAGCTAGCAAGCTAAGCTACCTTTATGGGAGTAAGGAAGAGGTAGTTCAAGGTTTGGAAGAAATAAGGTAATAAAGAGTTCTAGGAAAGGAAAAAGGGGGGAAGAGAAACGAGTTTGGGGGCTTTTGTGTGATGGGTTAATATGGGAGATGGTGGTGTGTATTTTCTTTTTTTCTTTTATCTTTTTTGGTTTTTGGTTTAGTTGAAAACCCCATTTGGGTTATTACTGTGTTGTTGGGTTAGGGTTAGGTCAAAGGAATCGGATGGATGATGGGTTTGATATTGGTAAGAAAGACAGCGTGCGCATGGACGGTGTGTGGGTCCTACATTTCTCTATGAGGACCCTACTTATTGAAGACTACCATGCTTTGCTTCCTCTCTCTTAGCACAAGTTGTGTATTTGTCATATGTGTGTGTTTCTTGTTCTTTTTTATCTAAAAAGCCTGCAAATAAGAACACAGTGTCTTCACTTATTGGCCAAAAACCTTCCTCACTCCATAATCCTTAATCGTAAGCTCTTTTGCTCTGAGCACCTTCATTTTCAGCCATCCCACTCTCACCACTTTGCCTTTGAAACTCATTATTGCTTCCTCTGATGCTTCCCAGAATCAGTATACTTCAAACTTCAGCCATATCCCGTGCTTCTATACTTTCTTCTTACCTAATATAACTAATATATATATATATATATATACTTTCTAATAATAAGTTATTAGTTCTGAAACTATTTAGTCTTTTAAAAAAAAAATTGAATTTAAAAAGTTATAAATTAAAAGAAGAGACTCAATTAAAAAATAATAGTTTAAGTTACTCAGTAAATATTAATGAAATACTTTATGTAAATAATATATTTATAAAATAAATATTGTAACCTTCCTCTCATTAAATATTTATAAAAAGCTCTTCTTTCAAAACTTTAAACTACTCTAATTTATAATATCTATTATATTTATGTACAATTTAATTACACGCATATTTTATACTTGAAAATTAACATACTGGCGTATATATAACTCATCCTTTATATGCCTTGGTATATATATAATATGCAGACATTTTCATTATATTGTTAGTTTTTTCATAAAACTATTAAAAAGTTTATAATCATTGATCCCAAATAAAATAAAAACCTTGTACTAGGAGTTTCAAATGATTTCTAGAAGTACGTCCTTGATGTGTTGTTCTTGTGTGAAACTTTATGTATTGGTAATCATGAAATAATAAAAGGATTTGGTTCGTGATAATTTGATGGTTAATAATATTATCAACTGTGTATCTGTAAAAAAAAATATTATCAACTAAAATAATGTGATGAAATTAGTTATGATAAAGTTATTTAAATGTTTATTTTATTTCATTGTGGATATTGGAACCAATCTTATAGTTAAAATTAAGAGAGTGACTATAGTAGTCAATCTAAATATACACAGGCACCAACAGAAAAAATTAAATATGCAAACCGATTAAATATATGATTTTTGGAACTGCATCTTTTATAAAATTGAATATTTCTTCTGTTCAGGAAAAATTTTAGTACCAACCAACAAAATAATATATATATATATA